TGCCACCGGCTACTCCTCCTATTTCTCACTTCACATCTAATCTACCGCCAAATCTTGCTTTTCTCCCTGACGGGCTCCAAACAGACTGTCTTTTCTTGGGGGTTGTTGCCCTGGTGCCTTTGAAAAGTCCTTCAGCCTTGTATCTGCCGTCATTCACCACATCTCGGATTCTGCCCTGCCTGCCCTGCACCTTCTTGGTTTTCAGCTTTGTCCTACTTTGGATCAGGAAATTTGCAAACCTTTTCCACAATATGAACAGAAGATGATGTCCGTTTTGTCAATGAAGATATCTATTTAATGGTGTCTTGTTTTGTTTTGTTTTCTTCCCCAAAGACTTCTAATGCAGGCCCAGACAAGAGGTAGACAGAGATGGAGGTCACGAAGACTAAGGTCAATGATTTGGAATTCCACCGCGCTGTGCGTGCCTCCCAGCACCACATTACAGTCATTCTTCCATATTTCTAACTTCGCTCTTATTTTTAATTTATTCTTTCCGAGTTTTAAGTGTTTTATCATAGTGGCTTGGATTTTTTCCAATCCCATGATTATCTCTCTATTAAAACCTTAATACAAAAAAGAAATTTAAAAAAAACCCCACACTGCTCATTACTTTGATTTGTAGCAAAGGGAGAATGGAACATTACCGCTAGAGTGTTTCGAGAAACCATATTTACATTTGCATCAGCTCAATTTAGGTGCCTGATTAGGTTGCATGTTACGATGAAGATGCACTTACCAGTCAAAGGGAAGTGGCATGGTCTAGAGCAATGAGCAGGAGACTTCAAGTCAGGAGCCGTGAGTGCTGTTTCTGGCTATGACTGGCTATCTCTCTGACCTTGAACAATTGTGTCACTACCCTAGACACCAATAGCCCCTTGTAGGGCTGCTGCTGTAAGAGATTGGTCATGAGTGTTTATTGTAGTGGGGTCTATGAGATGGAGCAAGGAAGGGGGGATCTAGGAGGTCACACATGGAACTGGATACAGGATCTCTATTCTTCTAGTTCTTTCCGCAAGCCTATTAAAAGACATGCCTAAGAAGGGGGCTGATTGCTCAGATCTTGGTCTAGCAGGGCTTCAAGACACGCTGAGATGTTGGTCAATGGAATTTACAAGATTGCCAAAAAGTGCTGAAATGACCAAGCTCATCCTATTACCTAGGAGGGCTTTACCAAGTGCACATTGTCTCTCCTCTCGCAACAGTGCCATCCTGAGACTGCATTTCATCCCTGAGACCGCGGAAGCAGCAGTGACTGGCCTCCAACGGACGTGCCAAGGAAGGCCCGCTCAGTTAGCAGCCCCAGACTTTAGGAGCAAGAGCTCGACTCAGAACAACTCTAATATATGCTGGGAACCATCTTGTTCCCTCCAGTAGCCCCAGGGAGGATTCGATCATTCTTCAGTCGCCCCCCACCTCCAGCAAAGAGCTAGATTATAAAGGTTAATACACTTTAAAATGGAAGGAAAGAAAGAGAACAATTATTCCCCTTCTAATATTGGTTGTCAAATGCTAAGTCTTCAGCAGACATTATAGCAAAATAGCACCCATGGTTCCCATCTTATTACCATTCTTCATAGGCTAATATTTACTGAGGACAATCTAATAATAATAGGTAATATTTATTAAGCACTGTCCTAAGTGGCTTACATCAATTAACTTATTTAATTCTGACATCGATCCATTTGGTGGACACTATTATTGTCCCCACTTTACAAATATGAAAAATAGGGAGCAAGAAAATTAAGTATCTTGGCCAACATTATACAGCTAGTACGCTGCAGCTCCGGGAATAGAGCCCAGGCCACCTGGCTCCAGAATCTTCACCTTAAGCACTTACGCCCACATGAATACAAATTGTTAATGGAGAGAGCAACAATCTCTGGGAGTCCATGGTTAGAGAGGCCGAAACTATTCTAGAATGACTGCTCACCTTCTCAAAGTGAGAACACCCTCTGCTATCCAAGTAAGAATAGGTAGAATTTGGAGTTTCATGTTAGAACCTTGCTTTGCAATAGTTATGATATGTTCAACAGCTAGAAGGGAAAGAAGGTCTATGCGAGAGACCTTCAAGTGATTCTGTACCAAACATTCCATCCCATTGGAAAGTCTCATTCTTCCCGTCACAGCCCATTCCCTTTCTCATATGGAAGGTTCATATGGATACCATCTGATTTCCATGTCCTAAAAGCTTTCTTAAAGAATGAAATGAGCCATTAGCTACGTTTGAGAGCCCATATTTCCCCACAAAGATTTCGGATAGTATCTGCAAGGTTTTTTTTCCCTCTGCCCTTCTGGATACTAGGAGAGAAATCTGGGGATGACTCTCAATGTATGTTTTACCAGTTTTCTGTGACCTGCCTTAATCAGCATAAGGTCCTGAATTTTTCAGAGGAAATCGCCACTAGATACACAGGGGAAGGGATAAGAGTGAATTCCCACTGGGATAATACAGAGGCCCTACCTGCGCCCATGACTCCACCATTTTGCTTACTAACTAAAGGGAGAACTCCCAGAATGCAGCGGGTGTGGCCACGCTGTCTCGCCCAACAAAGGGGCACAAATCAGAATACTGCACTGCTGTCAGAATGACTGGTTCCTGTTTCCCCAAGTGCAGGTTCATGTGCAATAGCTGACCCAGAGAAACAGACGGCACAGTGTGAGAGCTCGTCACGTTAACTGATCAGAAACCATTACCAGCTGATAGAACAGTTGATGGTGCAGAAATGATTACAGACACTCCCCGTGGGCACCTCTGAGCTGCCGCCCAGGTGTTAAGTGGCTGCCGAGCTCTCCAGACTCAGGACTAGGGCTTGATAAGAAGAAAAATCTACCGAGAAGAGGAGGAAACTGATGGTTTATTTCTTACTGTTCTTGCAGCTCTTTGAAATGGAGAGTGGGGGTAGGGTTCCTAGCCTGACTTCAGTTCCAATACATGTTTTAAAAATTATTTTTGGCGATTACAGTGCTTTTGTGAGATTTGGGATAAACCAAAAAGTATAAGGTAAGTTAAATCTTACTTTACTGGACTAGAGGGATTCTTTGCTTAAATTCTAGAGTGGATGTTCTGCTTTTTTTTTTTTTTTTTTTTTTTGGTAAAGATGGAAAAATAAATTCTTTGATAAAGAGAGGATCACTTTGAATTTGCCTTACAGAAATTTGTGGTGGCATGTGTCTAGATCAGGGGTCCTCACACTTTTTAAGCAGGGGGCCAGGTCACTGTCCCTCAGACCGTTGGGGGCCGTTGGAGAGTGCGGCGCACATTCCACACGTGCGCACTGTGGGCCCAGGACGAGTCGGCTGCTAAGCAGGACAGGCAGCTGTGACAAAAACACCCCTCGGGCCTGATAAATGTCCTCGGGCCGCATGTGGCCCACGGGCCATAGTTTGAGGACACCTGGTAGATTCTCGGACAGTTAGTGATGGTTGTGTTAACACTCTGCTCTATACCTCTTCTACTCATCTGCTGTTAGCTGAGCAGGTGTTAGCCCTGCCATTCTCCGCCTGAACTGGCTGTCTCTGCCTCAATGACTCTGTGAGAATTTCTGCCGTAGCCTTTGGAGGATGGCGAGGACCAAAGCCACCAAAGCAGGGAGTGTGAACTGCCATCCCTTCCAGGACCAGACTGGCCCTAAGCACAGTGCGGAGAAATGCCCAGAGAGGAGAGCTGGGCAGGGTACTCCTGAGAGCAGGATCTCATCTCTACATACCTCTGTGCCCACAAAGTATCAGCCCCTCAAGTATCTGACCTGCCCTTGGGTCTGCACCCCAGCACAGGAATCACGGCCAGAGTGGATGGCCTCTATAAAGGGCTGCTGTCTCAGCATTTTGGAATCTTCCAGTACAGTACTTGATACTCTTAAAACCTTATTTCTGAGACCCTTTACTAACTTAAACAGGTTACATGGTTACTACAGATGTTAAAAAATTCTGAGAAAAAGAAAAACGTCCAAATGTATTAATTTTTTAAGAATCTAGACTCTGGAGTCTGTCTACTTAGGAACTATCTCTAGCTCCACCATTTACCAACTTTGTGCCCTTCAGTGAGTTGCTTAACTTTTCTGGGCCTCAATTTCCCCACCTGTAAAAAGGGATACAAACATTAGGTTTTTCTTCCAACATTAGGTTGTTGGAAGGATTAAACAGGGTCATTTACATAAGGCATGTAAAGTGCTAAATCTAGCAAGAGGTCCAAAAATATTAGTATTTTCGCATGACTAGAAATGGATATGCCAAAAATGTTAACAATAGCAACCTCTAGATGCTAAAAGAATAGATTATTTTGTGGGTTTTGTTTCTCTTTGTGCTATTTCATGCCCTTTTTGCATTAGAAACTAATTTGTAATTAGAAAACGGATGTCTTTCTAAAAAGAAAAGAATTCAGCGAGGCTCCCGGCACTATCTAAATACTCAGTGAGGTGAGGGGAAAAGAAAGATGACAAGGGGGGTGAGTGGGCACAGGGGTCATGGAAGTGTGAATTCAGGGATGCAGCCTCGGAGCCCTGAGGCTTGCTGAGTCGCCCCAGGTGAGGACTGGGAGGAACAGTCTACCCTCGCAGCCTGGTCCAGCGGCCGGGAAAATGCACCTGGCTCGCCCCATCTGGCGAAGGGTAGGGCAGGTCTCACGTCCTTCACTTGTATGTCTAAGTAATCACAACTCACAAAACTATCTAGCCCATCAGCTAAAGCCCGGCCCCGCACTCGACTCGGACCCCCACGGCAGCGGGGCCACACGCTGATTCCGTGCGGCCTGATTCGTCCTCAATTTATAAGCAGCACAACCTATAAATAGAAAGCCTTTTGCTAAGTTCCCCAGGAGGCATCAGCAGGTTTTCTAGCTTGTATGTGTTTTCTTCTTTCTTTTTTAAAAAGCCAGCGTGGTAGGCTTCTTTCCCCGCCCGGTGTTCCTGCAGTCTCCGCTCTGGTCGGCGCGGGGCAGTGCGGCTGGCTGAGCCTGCGGGTTCGGAGGCGAGCCCCGCCCTGCGCAGGAGGTGCCCACTCACCTGTAGATCCTGTACCTGGTGGTGAAACCCTGGCGGTGCCGCTCCATGAAGTCGGCGTACTCCTGCGCGCGGTGGAAGGGGCCCCGGTCTGTGAGCAGCCAGTCCAGCGGGTGCGGGCCGGGCCCCGCGGAGGCATGCTGCTCGGGGGCCGCGGCCGCCGGGGCCGAGACGGCCCACAGCCAGCCCGGCAGGCCCAGCGCCAGCAGGGCCGCCCACGGGGCCGCCGGCCGGAGCCCTCTACGCCGAGAGCCGCGCTGCCGCCTCATGCTTCCCCCGTGCGGCTGGTCTCCTCATTCTCTCGCCAGGCGCTCCCCCTCCGCGCCGCTCCTCCGGAACTCGGAGCTGGAAGAGTACAAAAGGCCATGTCACTGGGGCACCTGGTCTCACCGGGGCTGCGAGCACCAGACACACTGGGCAGGAAACCCCCTCTCCGAGTGAACAGCTCGGCTCTGGGCACTCGGCGACGTGCCCGGTGTGTCTCACTTCATTCATCCTTAAACCGAACCTAGGAGGGAATGCTGCTGACAGCATTTCACAGATGAGAAGATGAGGCTTAGAGAGAGTAAGAAAGTTGCTGAAGTCCACACGGCTATTGGGTGGGGAATCCAGAATATGAACGCCGGGGCTCGACTCTTGGCCCTCGTGTGACATTTGCTACCTGCTTCCCTCCTTGACTCGCCTGGCAGCGCTCGTGTCTGCCCTCTCCCCGCACATGTTCAGTTTCTTGCTGTAACTGCCTCAGAAGCAAGGCCTCTAGCGGCTCGATGTGGGGCGAGTGGCAACCCTGATTTTCAGATGGAGACTGTGAGGCTGAAAAGCAGTGAAGTGCCACCGGGGCTGCGAAGCCGGGTGACGCTGGGCAGATGACCGCCCCCTCTGGGTTTAGGGTAGCTTGTAGTCAATAAAAAGGTGTGACTAGCTAATATCTAAGACCTCTTTCAGCCCCGAGCACCTGGTATGTCCCTGTGCTGAAGGCCGCGCAGGGCCGAGGCTGGGAGGCTGTGAGCTGCCCCGTCGTGCAAGGGTGTTCCTCGGCCGCCCCACCCACAGCGCGACAGCGCCACAGGGCAGGGCTGTGCCTGACTGTCGCGTCCCTCCGTGCCCGTCCTGAGACCGCGGAGCAGCCTTCAGGTGCCCTTCTTGAAGCGATGAATGAGTGCTTGCCCTGCCCTCTCCGAGTCGGAGGCAAGCTGCCAGGAAAGAAGATTCTGGCTTTTACAATTCCTGGCTGTCTTGTGACTCATCTCAGGCTTCTGATTGCCCGTGCCTGCACGTTGTCTAAGGACAGCTAGTCACCTTAATAACCCTCTGGGCAGGTGCAGGGCACTGCTCAGTACTGCGGGGCCTCTTTGAATTGTGATCGTTTCTTCCACCTTTAATTTCTAGCACACGCTGTCAGAATCTGCCCGTCTCCTCTTGCCAGAATGTGCCTGAATGACCTCTAACCCCTATCACTTCTAATTCCCAGCTGGAGAACTTTCCATGACTGCCAAAGCCCAGAGATAGGCTTGCCAGGCCTGAGGCAAAGGGTGTCAATTCCCTGGCACTTCCAGACTCCTGTAAGGCCAGGCAACGTGGGCTCCGGCACCTGATTCATGTCCCCTGCCCTGGACTGGCTCCAGCTCACAAAATCAGCAGACTTCCCTTGGACCCATGTGAGTCGGGGGCTGCACAAGCAGTGATCCTGCATGCCCCGGCCTGGAGGCCACCCTGCTCTGAGAGGCCTGTGCCTCAGCACTCACACGGGATGCTTTCCAGGGAGCTGCGGCCTGTGCAGGACAGCGGACGGGAGAGTGAGTGGCCGGGTGTTCAGAGTCATTCCTCTACTCCAGCTGGTGGGGCCGGCCACCTACTATGTGCTGGGTGACTCTTAGAAGGTGCCTCAATGCTCACAAGAAGCTTGTTATATAGGCATTGTTATTTTAAGTTTGTATTTTAAGGGATCCAGAGGAATTGAGCTAGGAAAATGCAGAGGTAGAATATGAGCCTAGATCTGGCCCCACGTCCAGACCGTGCCAAAGAACGCCATGCTGCTGCAGGCGCTAGAGCAGGCACAGACTCTCACTTAATGAACTGGTTGAGAAAGGGGCTAAAAGAAGGCAGCTCCAGATCATAAAACATGATAAAATTCACAAGATTAAAGTAGGCGATACTGGCATACAAATTGAACAGCAGATCAATAGAAATAGAATAGATAGCTCAGAAATAAACTTATATGAACAAAAAGCATCACAGACTAATTGCATGGGGGAGGGAATATTTTATATATAATATTGAGAAATTAGTTCCCGTCGGATTAAAAAATTAAATATAAAAAATAAAATCACAGAAAAAAGGAAAATCCCCAAGTGCTTTATAATAAGCAAGTATTACCAGGAAAAAATGTAATTCAAAACTAAAAAGAGGAATCAGGCTTTCACTGAGAAGGGTAGCATTTTTTCTATGGATGTAATCTGATGAGGATGCCCAAAATATTTCTCATTTAATCATTCAACATATTCATTTATTGAAGAAACACAAATTGAGAATTCCTAAGTGCCAGACACTACGCTAAGCATTGACAATACAAATGCAAGTGCTCATTACATTACCTGAAACACAACCATTAGTGATTAATTCCTTTTATAAAATATTGCTCTATTTATTTTTAGAGGCTATTGATGGAGGAAAGGAGAAGATGTTCATTTTGGAGAGTGCAGCGACTTGATGCTAGAGGCTGAGGCAGCTGACACGCTAAGGCAGAAATGCTGGACGTGGTGGGAAGATCCTGCGGAAAGCAGGACTCTCCTCTGGCTCCCAACTCCCCCACGTCCTTTGTGCATGCGCTATATGATCCCCCCCCATAAGTGTGGGCAGGGGCTGTGAGTGCGGCGGGGTTTCACTCCCATGATCAGGTTGCTAATGGGTTGACTTTGGGTTAAGATCTGATGAAGGTAGTAGAACGCACTGAAAGTCCAGAGGGCAGATAATAGTTAGATTATGGTGGTGGCAGTGAGGACAAAGACGGATGGGTACCTTTGAGCAGCATCCTAGGTGGGCCTGACCCAATCTGGTGAGCCTTTAGAAGAAAGGGAAGTGTCAAAGAGGCAAGCTCCAGCTGCTCTGGGAGACAGCACACAGCCATTCTGCCAACAGCCTCTGGGGCACGGCCCATTCTGCAACCGGAGTTGCAGGTGGACCTAGGCGCTGGGGGTAACCCGCAGCAACAGCTGGCAAGAAAACGGGACTTAGGAAACACGTTCAACCTCAAGAAGACACGTTCTGCCAGCAGCCATGTGAACTGGAAGAGGACCCGGAGCCCTGCACGAGAACTGCTTCCCTAGCCAGCACCTGGATTTCAGTCCGGCGAGACCCTGAGCAAAGAGCCCAGTTCATCTGTACCTGCATTCCTGACTCACAGAAACTGTGAAATAATAAATTTGTATTGTTTTGCATCAATGCGTTTGTGGTGAATTGTTACAGAGCAACAGAGAAATAATGCAGATGCATAAAAGATAACACAGCCTCTCCCATTCCGCAGTGGCAGTTTCTTGAGTGGAGCGATGACGCCGATCACCTCTCCTAACTCAGCTGGGTCACCCCACACCCTCCCTGCCTAACCATGGACCCTGAAGGTCAGGGCCATGTCTTTGTCTTGTAATCTCACCACTCACACATAGTTGGGCCTCAGGAGTGTTCCAGGGGTCATTTCCATGCATTTCCTTGAGGGGTCATTGTGAGCTAGTGACAACACGTGGCCCTGGCCCAGCTACATGACCTCTTGGTGTGTTGGCCTGCTGTGCTGTGATGCCACAGCAGTGGCCACCGCCTCACCTGCCAGCAGAGGGGTTCTCCAGGGGCAGGCAGAGCACACAGGTGAAGAGCCGGTGCTCCCCGAAAGAAGCGAGCTGTGATAAGTCAGCGTGTGCTTCTCGTCATTCTTTGTTTGCAATTACGCTTTTCCGGAGCTCACCATGCACTGGAACCTGCCTGGTCACAGGAGTATCAGCTTTAGAATCAAATGGTTTTGATTGCCGGCAAGTCTGCTGAGCACAGCAAGAATGCCCGAATTCAGGGCTGCCTGCTTCTCTGAAAACCTGGTCTTGGAATCACATGGTTTCCGCTTCACTGGTTTTTTTCAGGATCTGAAGACATTTTGACTAAAAAAATCTCTTTTTAAGAAAGAGAAGTTTTAAACAGGTTCAAAACTTTCTTTAAAAAATCCCTAGAACATATTCCTTCACCTTTTAAAAAAAGACAAAATGCTGCATTGACAGTTGTGTGAAAATCAGGCTTTTGAAGGGGAACAGCTTTTGGCCATTTCCTGTTTATGCTCCACAGATAATATCACTAGAAATTTTGTAACAGCAACCTGTCAAGCAAATTTTAACTAAATCCTCACAATGTCTGGTGGCACCACCAATCTGTAGCAGGATGAAACAATCACCACCTTCCTCACCAGGCTTCCACTGTCCTTCTTGGCCTGAAGCTGACTGTGTAAGTAAACCTCCCAGTCAGTCAGTAGTATGTTAAGGTAATGGCTGAGCTCGCTCCTTGATGAAAAAATTATAAATTTACTTGTGAAAGCCAAATGATTTCACGTACTTAGACCATACTTAAGACAGTTTTACACCTAAGCAAATAATAAATTAGATTTGCATCAAAGGTACAGGTAAAACAGGTCACGGGTTTTCCTTTGCTGAGTGCATTAGCTCAAATCTGTTATTTAAGCCATGAATTAAATGGGTCACAGTTTTGTTAACAGAAAATCAAGTATAGACAGGTCTCATGAGAAGCAGCCAGTACAATCTTCAAATGGTAGAGTGTCTAGGAATCATGTCTCCACTACTCTCAGATTATTACCTAGCTGAGGCTATTTTTGTTATTCTTTTGCATCCTCCCGTTGTTTTCAATATCCATTTATGCTAGGTGTGTCAAAAGATAGGGTAATTAGGATGCAAAGCATCAGCTGCTGGTGTATTAAGTCTTGGCAAATAAGGTAGAAACAGAGATTTCCTCATTGAAAATTATTGCAGAGGAAGGGTTATATCTTGCAGAAGTTAAAGATATGGCTAAGCTATGGTTATAGGCCTGGAGAAAAGGTAGAATAAATGTGAGGGTATTATTATAATTAATAGAATTGTTAATGCTAATTATCATTAATAAACACCATATAAATCATTTCATATTTGTGCTTAGAAAGCACAGATAATAAAATCACCACTTTTAACAGATGAAGACAGTGATGATAGAAATGGATGAGTGGATTGCATAAGGTCACATATTTCAGTGGCAGATCCAGGTCATTCTACCCTAGATTACGTAGTTTTTATACCTCCCTGCACCAGTTATATGACTTATAG